CTACAGCTACAACCAGGGTCTTATTTTCTTCAGTTTCTTATGTAGAACCATCGTCAGTCACGAAAACAATGCCGTCTTGTCTCTTCGTGTGTGTTTTAATATTCTGCATATTATTAATGAATTGAATTGTTCATTTTGCATAAATAAACATTAATTAAATCAAATACATATTCAGTAATAAACAATAATGAATCTTTTGTACATATTTTTAAGGTAAATGACACTATGCTTCTTTGAGTGCGCACGTATACATTGGCGTTCCACTAATCAGTCTCACGTTTTTTCTTTATTATCAGTGGTTACTTCTACTGTAAATTAAATAACATTAATTAAAACCTACATATTTTTTACATTAATTTTACTACTATGGGTGCAAACACTGACAACAATGCTGGCTCTTATCCTCTTGTGTGTTTTAATATTCTATGTATTATTAATGAATTGTATTGATCATTTCGCATATAAAGATAAATGACCTGGTATCCTTAGGTATCCTTAAATGCGCACGTACATGTTGGCGTCCCCAATCCATCTCACTTTTTTTTCTTTTCCATTAGTGGTTAGCTACTTCTATTGTTCAATTTATTAACATTAAATAACTTTACTTAAAACATATATATTCATTTTTTTTTATTAATTTTACTACAGCTACAACCAGGGTCTTATTTTCTTAATTTTCTCGTGTAGAACTATCGTCCCGGACTCCCAGCTGCAAACACTAATGAAAACAATGGCGTCCCATCTCCTCTTGTGTGACCATATTATTATTCATTTACATTGTATAAGGTGCATTCAGAAACATTATTTAAAGAATATAGTTGGCAATTTTCATTAATTGTATTGTTTTGGGGGAAAAGAGGGTAAAAAGCCACACAAAAGATATGAAAAGGTCACACTTGGGAATGCATCTCATTATTATTGCTTTATTTTAATGGTAATTAATGATTCGCAATACGATGATTCACCTTGCACTGCAATTTTGGAGGACACATCACCGTCGTTATTCGAGGCTTTACTGTACTGTACAGTTTTTTAACTTATTTTTTTGGCAATTTAGGGAAATTTTTAGGAGTGCTTTTGACTTTATACGGTTTTTGGCTTTATGCGAGGTCCCAGGAACATAACCCCATGTAAGTTGTGAGTCTACTGTAGATAAATTTATCGCTGTATATTGGAAAATGTCGATATTTTTGGTAGCCGCGATATAAAAAAATCGTTATATGAAGTCGCTATATATCCCAACCCTACTGAACCCATTCAGTGACAAGAAAAACCTTTAAATAACCCATAACAATCCTCCAAAAATTTTGGCATTTCCATTAATTTAGGTGTACTGTATTAATCTTTAGAGATGCACACTCTTTCTAGTATGGAATATTCTCATATCATTGGTGAATCTAATGCTATTTGAAAATTGAAAATCGTCCAAGAACTTTTGGAGTGATTTCTAATTTTGTGCAAAATTTTTGTTTTGAGTTACAAGGCTTTGAATATTTACAAGATCTTGGGACCTGGTGCCATCTTGATTTTGCATGATATTACTTGCTAGAGAGCAAGGTTGTCAAAAGACACCACTTTTTTTTGTTTTTAGGTTTAGAACTCTTTAGAATGATGCAGATTCGTAAAACTCGTTAGAATAACCCTGGTTAATACTCTGAATTTTTTCTACTTTTCTTCTTACATGGTGTCAAATGATAAGCGTTTTACTTCAAAGTGTCATAATGGAAGGACTGGTGGTAATGAATACAAGGGAGAACAAATAAGATGCCTAATAGCCAAAGATGTGGTCTAAAAATGACTGAAGAAAATGACTGAAGAAACTGTGTAACTACTAGGGCAAGGAGGGGGGGGGGGGGTTCACTAGCCACACATAGGTCTGCTCTCCATGTGGGCTAGCCAAGCATCGAGAAGAAACACATCTCACCACTCAGCAGACTGATTGATAGGTGTTGCCAGATGTACTTTTTTATTAGTTTTAATAAATAATATATACAATACAGTGATCCCTCGGTTAACGAAATTTCGGTTAACGAATTACCTTCCATAAGATTCTTCACTTCGGTTAAGGAATTCCTTACGAATTTTTCCCAACATGTTTTCGCCTGCTCACCAGCTGTAGTATTAGTCCGCCAATACAGTAATCGGTTTTAGGGCTTAAATTCATTACCATTTGAGTAAATATCAAGAAGGTTGTACTATTCAATAATTTTCCAAGTCTTATATTAAAGTTTTTAGTCATTTTAACAATTATTTAACATAATTGAAGTACAGGGAACTAGTTTTTAGCACGCCAAACAGCCACTCAACTCACCCAAAATGGCGTCAGTGTGTGTCCCTGCTCAGTGGAGGAAGCATCTTGCTTGAGACTCTCTTGAACATAAACTATTTTTACATTTTTACAGTATAATTATTGGTCATTCTGAAGTTTATTTTACATATTGACAATATATAGTGCAGTGCAGTGTTGATTTAAAGAAAATAATCTTGAATTACACCAAGTGAACTAAAATTTTATGGGTGAAATGGCGGCATGAAGCATGGGGTGACATCTCTTCCACCCCATTGCCTTCTCTTTTCCCTTCTCCTCCACCCCACTTCTAATTCCCATCATCATCATCATCAACCAGGAGCCTTCTACATACACACCTCAAAGTAAGTGTACTTTACTGCATTTATTTTTAGTTTGTATGTAATTTTCGGTGAGCTGGAACCAATTACCCAAAAACCCATTGAAACAATGGTTTCGGTTAACGAAATTTTCGGTTAACGAAAGACCTTCTGGAACGAATTGTGTTCGTTAACCGAGGGACCACTGTATATAACAATAAATGTAAATACTGTACATCATTTGCTCATAATACTAGTACAGGGTATTATGTTGACAACAGATAACAAGAATCAACTAAAACTGACTACAGGGTAAGGAGGCTTTTATGATTCTTGTTTGGGTAGATCTTATAGTACATCATTCAAACTTGACAGTCATGTAGTTAAAGGTTGCCAGATTCAGAGGAATTTTTTAAGAAAATCGTTTTTCATAGTTTTTAGATCGTTCACAGCGGGATGATGCCCTTAATTAACTCTCTAAAAATCCATTGAGGGCTTATGGGTTTTCAGTAAGTTACCCATGAGATATGTAAAAAAAGCCACATTATCAGAATCCAATAAAATACTGAATATAGCAACACACATTCGTTAAGTGATCCACCGATAACATGTGACAGATGGATGTCATATTCTTACTTTATGTTTCTGGTTCTGCTGCAGTTTTCTTGTAACTGCAACAGTTAATCTTGTCAGGTATCTAGAGCAGTCTGAAAGGTTATTCCTCCTTAAGTTGAAGTAGTTTCCCACATAATCATCATCATGCCATTTTTTTATATTAGATTATGACTTAGTAGGATTTATTTCAATAATCTTTAATGGCCAAATATTGTGGTTCTTTACCAGAAAGGGCTTACTGAATTGCATTCATTACTGGCCCTCTGGCATTAAAGTTGACATGATGAGGGTCTATGTTGTCGATGCTGTCTTTATTTTAAAGATGTAGTTAATATTCTTAGTGCCAATTACAGTATCATGTCTGAAATAATGGATAATCAGAGCCCGTTTCCTCATTCATACAAAAGGGATCTTAGTCTCCTGCAAAGAACTACATCTTTAGTATATGGCACTGGTAAGTATCTGACGTTACTCATCACTGCTTATGTGGCTATTCTATATAAAAAAATTAACTTTACATTTGGCAATACTGCACTGTACATCCCTAACAGCATTAGAACCCTTTTCTCTATCTCCTCCCTTTCTTTATCTGGCTTTTGAAAATCATGAGTCATTCAAGAAGTTAATAAACATTAATAGGGGATTAAATCTCAATACGCATGATTAATAGCCTTCCCCCTTGCCCCCAGGAGTATGGCATAAAAGTGGGTAGACAGGGGAACTGTGTCTTGGGAATCTCAGGTTCTGTGTTTTGAAAAGTGAGGTTGGAAGTATGCATGGGAGCATTTACCCATGACTTGGTGACCCTTCTAAATTGATGAGTGCTTTGCTGGAGTATTCACTGCAAGATAGCAATGTGACTGGTAAAGTAAATATTTTGACAGCACCTCACCACTGTAGCCAAACTTGATAATATGAGCTGTATCATCTTTACCTTACCGTTAAAATTAAGTTTGCAACTCCAACATCTGTAACTCCATTGTCATACTATGGTAGTCTTCATCATTTTTACTGTAAAACCTGAATGACTCATGATTTTGTTTATTTGATGTTTTTTAATAAGATTGGTAATCCATAATACAGTATTCAATAATAATTTGGGAGAAAATTAGATTTAGTGTAGCACCTTACTAAAATGTGCAGGGTACCCTTAAAAGAAAACATTTATTTTGTGTATCCCAGTTACCTACCATACTTTGTTTGTAGTGTACTGTACTACAAGTATCAGTGGGGAAGCAGTTTTCATTTTCTCCATTTAAAGTTGATTAGAAAAACCTATTCAAACAAGATATTTTTTGATTCAAAGGTTATTTTAAGATATATATTGTCAACTTTATCAAGAGTTATAACTCTTAATGCTGTTTGACAAGAAGGTCCTTATGTTTGTATGCACAGTGTACTGAACATTTATACATACTGTATAATTTCTCACAAATAAGGGAAGTTGGATTCATATCTGATCACTATCATGACCTCAACTGGTAGGATCATATTCTGCTATATGTTATTACTGTACTGTACTGACTAAGCTATGCTGCAATTAAAAAAAAATTAAATTTAGGGGATGAAAGATAAGTACCCGGTAAGAAGGTAGAACTAAGGAGTATGTTGTTGAATGAGGCACAAATAGACATATTTTATTTATTTTGTCATACTGTGAGTAATATTAGTTTTATGGGAAGAGAAGGATAAACAATTCAGACCAATTTTTGCTAGAGAGATATTTCATGAATGTGTGTGTCTTTATTCACAGTTTTTGTCAAACTTCTCCTTAACAGTTTACATGAAGATAGAAAGGAGTTTAAAGCAACAAAAGAAAGCATTGCAGCACTGCCTGTCACTCCCTCTACACCAGTATCCATTATAATCCATGGCTACACTGAGTCTTCTCTCAGATCTTGGGTAGTTGACCTCACTGATGGTAAGTATTATTAGTAAACTCATTTTTCTATTGGATATACAGTATACCCACTGTATATTTCACAATCCTCTACAATATCTAAAAAAAATTATCTACCAGGATGGGTCCGATGACTTTCGAAGTGCTACATGCAGCTTGTGATGTCCTGGGAGGGTTGGTTATTGGTTTGCGTGGCTCTGTTACATATTGATACAGTACTACTACATTTGGTAACCGAACATCATATTAATTACGCTGAAATAAACATACATTGCATTACTTACGTTAAACTATACAGGGCAGGAACACACATATCCCAATATCTATCATTCTTGGTTTCATAATGTTTCACGAAGAGTGTGGACAGACACTTTTTTGAGATATTGTACATACTACTAACTCTAGTTCAAGAGATGCGTGAGTGCTTGAGTCTGAATGTGAAGTAGAGTAGAGCTAAGGGTAGGTTGTAGGAAATGACCTCAAAGATAAAAACCTGATGAGATAGGCTGTAAGAGACTATACAGCATCTGAGAGCTGCCATTAGGTAATCATGGCTAATGCACACGAGCTTGGAAAATGACTGTAAAATGGTGGTAAAGCCACTTGCTGTAAATTAGGTTGCTTTCTTAATGCAATCTGATTAAAGCCAGTGCTGCTTCACTGCACACCAGTTGGACTCAGGAATAGCTAATAATGAAATTAAACAACACTTGCTAAACAACAGAGAAAATTCCAAAATCTCACTTTATTCTAGCACAGTAAGTCCTCGCTTAATGCAGTGGTTCTGTTCCTGAAAATTGTGACATAAACGGAAACAACGTTAACGGAGTAAATTTTTCCATAAGAAATAGATAAAATACGGGAGTTACATTCCCAGCCTACGTTTGCCCCATAAAATACATTACATATACCGTACATAAATTCAATGGAATTTTTATAGAAAATAGTATATACAGTACAGTATTATACATCCGAAAAGATAAATAAACCAAATCATTTTGTGTTGTACTCACTGATGCGCTGAGGTAGAGCAAATGTGTGGTGGGAGGAGGAGGGTGGCGAGTCACTGAGACCCGGAGGGTGGCTCCTCCTCCCGCTCTGACCGGGTGAGAGGGGTGATGCGCCGTACAAAGTAGTACGTGACAACGTTATACCGAATCGGCGGGATGTTGTCCGAATTATGGGTATCTAAAGAGTAGTGACACAATGTTATCAGGGGCAACGTTAAACGAGGACTTACTGTATAGTAATACAGTAATGCTAAGAACCATGTGACACAGCCTATTGAAATTCTGATTGCTATAAAATCGAGGTAGCTGCACCTGTCCTGTTTCTATGGAGACAAGGGCAGAAGACACACATCTGCACCAGGTAAGTAGTGGTTGAAAACTGAATTGGGTATCGTACCTGAAGTCCATTATGGTGGTCCTGGTAGCTGAAGGTAATGGTAACTTAATAATATGACTTTACAAGCCCAGCTGCCTGCCTGATCTCCCTTGAATGGAAACTGTTACTTCTAATTGTTTACTTTTAAAAGTGATAAATGTATACGGTAATGGGGAGGGACGGAATGTGTTAGATTAGTTCCCAGTCACTATGTTCTAAAATCTCTTGGTTCTCTGACCTGTAGACCTAGTGGGCACATTACATGACCTGCCTGGCTGAGGGCAGTCTAGGAAATCATCCCTATTTTTAGCAGAAGATGTTAATATTGATAAATAAAGTCGATTCCTAAATGGCTTAGAATTTCACAGGTGATTCCTTGATGACCCATTGGTCATAAGTGGAGGACTGAAGTACAAATTCCTGTTTTAAGACTGAAGTGAAGAAAAATATGATCTGGTTTCCTTTCACTCTTTTGCTGGAATTAAAAATCAGTAAAAACTGAGGCAGCCAAAAGGGCTTGAATTATATATACGTATATTTTATTTTAAATTACAATCCCTAACTTTAAGTGTCACTGGTCAGTGAGTCAACCACAGGATCCAATAGGCCTAAATCTTTTACCCTGTTTTGACTTAAGTGAGAAAGAAATACTTGTAGGAAAACATCATCAGACATTGTTTGGTTGCTGTACAGTATATTATGCCATTAAACACACCAACATAAATTTGGCAACAGGCTGTACTGTGCCTACTGGTAGGTAATTTAATAAAGTGAATCTTACAAGCCACTTATTTCTTCTACATCACTAATTAGGATTACATAATTCAGCTATTCATTTTTATTGTATTGTAATGTCTATTAAAACCAGGCATCTTCTCTCTTCAGCATTGTTGTCACATGACCTGAAGAGTGTTGTAATTCTGGTGGACTACTGGGACCTAGTGACCATCTCCCGCCCATACATGATGATCAATGTCAGACACATCGCAGACATCACAGCAAGGATGATTGACATGCTAGCTGAGGAAAAAAGTGTCGAGTAAGTAATTTTTATGAGAATTGAAGTAATCTCTGTTAACCTGAATCCCTGGAACTCTCCAATAGCCGGAATTGAAATTGAGCCAAAAAATTTCCGGGAAAACTCTCTCTATTCTGAGCATGGGAACGAGTTTCCAAGGATGAAAATCAGGTGCATTTTTCGGAAAACTTCTGAGAAAATCTATCCAAACCTCTCCGTTCTGGGCCTGGGAGCAGATTTACTGGGAGTTCCGAGAGATTGCATCATGATCCAATGTGTCCCCAAGTGCCAGGTGCATAGGTGGTCTGGCTGCTTAGATCGCTTAAATCATATTCTGTTGCCTTTGTAGAAGGTTGTTCCCTCTCTAGCTGCTGTTTTTGTGTACAATTTGTGTTGATTTAAAGAGGATAGAGAAAGAAAATGACTTTAGTGTGGTAGTTCATAACATAATTCTTGTCATTTTAGGAACGTATACTGTGTAGTACCTAATGAAATGTACAAGAAAAGCCAGTTGATGGACATTATCCAGTGAAATTTCCCATTGCACTGGGTCAGAAATCTTCAGAACTGCATAGTGGGGTAGGTGAAATGATTTACAAAATCTGAAACATGAATACTGTGCTCAAAATCACTATTGCTAAACCCATGGTTGGTGAGGGATTACCATGTACAAATTGAACTTTTAACTAGTCATTTACTGTAGTACTATTTTGCTTTACCTGATTAAATATTGCATAGGATAATCGAAGCACTGGAAATTCTTGTATAACAAAGCTTTTGCTACAGTGGTACACTTTTTTCCTCTTTTCATTCATGTACAGTATACAGTAATATCTCTATTAGCCGGAATCCCTCAAACCCGGAAATCTCCGATAGCCGGAATTGAAATTTGCTCGGAAAATCATTCCCAAAGCCGGAATTTTCCACAAATTTCCGGCATTAGGAAGAAATTTTCCGAGGGTAAAATTCGAGGGAATTTTCTGAAAATGTCTTGAAAAAGATGAAAGTTAAAGTATTTTTTGGAAGGGACCTGACCTGACTCAATGTCAGGTGGAGGTAGGATGGGGGATTAGTGGTCTCATGTTACTGACCTTATGATGGAATGCCAGGTCACCCTTTCTTGGGTGGGGGATTAGTGGGTCTCATGACTTGAAGATGTCTTGAATAAACACGAAAGCTAAAGTATTTTTAGGGAGATTGTGATAAGTTTAAGTATAAATGAGCAAAGTTGTATCCCTTTAACATCACATTACATAACATTTTAAAATATGGAGTGAGAAAGCAGAAAGGTGTGGGTGATTAGAAAGATGGAGTGGAAAAGTGGGCATAATCAAAGGCATCTTTGTCTCGGGTCCGCCAGGCCGAGATGGCAGGGCAGTTGGGAGGTAGACATGGCAGTGAACAGAACACACACGAAAGTTGCGTGTGAGGTGAATGAGCTCCAGCTTGTATGAGTGTGTGTATTTGTAGCAAAATATCTTAGTACCTTGGGAGTACTAATGTCAACAGCTCGTGTATGTGGAAAGTACTGTACTCTGGGAGAACCAACCTTGACAAGTGAAAGGACACCAAACCTAACGACCAGCCATGAATACTGGGAGATACTAACACCCTTGACATGTAAGTGAAAGAGATAAAAGTTACCTGATGTGACAAAATGTACATGTGAAGATATCTAGTACAGGTAGCATGGTTCTATATACCAGTAGTTGTGCTGTGAGTATGGATTGGTAACGTAATCACAAAATCAATGTAACTTGGTGATATGATCAGTGTTCTATGTGTAACTGTAGTGTTATGCTCAACAGGTTTTGACCAATGAATCATTGCATCCACGTCATCAGGCTATCATTCCATCGTAATCGCTTCATGGCCATTAAATAATGTTCTGAACGTTTCAGGGCTAATCATATGGAACCTTCCATAAAAGTACATATTGTGTGTTATCAGCTCAAACAATGTTAATTGGATTAATTTGAAACTGGACAGTATTGTTGCATAAGTAATGGACAATTGCACTTAATTCACAGTGGGAGGGTGCAAGGGGGTTACCAGTATTCTTGCATTTTAATGCGCTCACTCCCTTTTATGTTTATACAGTACATACATGGGATACAACAGCTTTGCAATTTGAGGAACCTGAAGTTGATGTGTTCATGCAGCATTTGCATAAATATAAAATGATGGTCCTGTCCTTTTTTTACCTAAATTTCCATGTTGGAGCTGTATAACCGTCTAATAAAGATATTCCTGTTCCAGATTTCTGTAAGAAGGAAACAGGAAGTTCTGTGGTTACAAATAGAGTGCTCTGAAAGTCACCAGCACCCATACGTATTACTCCAAAATGAATGCGAACAAGCAGTCGTAATCGGTTTTAGTAGTATTCATCATTTTATTGGCCTTTTGCATTAAATGAACCAATCGATGTAACACTTCTGATTTTTTATGTTTATCCTAGTGCCAATATCAGTGTCATCATATTCTTACAATATGGTCAAATTTTATTGAAACACAGTGACATCTGCATCCCTCACTCATTAGTGAGCCTTGATATCTGTAATTTCTTGGAGGTTGGCTGTAACAATTATGTTTCTGATTGATATATTTTTCATATGAGTAAAGATAAACATTGGGATCAAAGTGTTTAACCATTGATGAAACCTTAGGCTGTTCACACTTGCCAAGAGCATGTATTTATTAGAACCACTCATATGTGCATACATTAACATCCAATATCTTGTTTTTGCAATGTTCTTAAGCCAAGTTTGTTATTTGTTTGTAATGCCTGACACAATATGTTATGAGCAGCTTTGATCTATTTCTTAGGTATTTGATGTGTGAAACTTGGATATTCTATGTTGGGCTGCAGATGATAGAGAAATTTTTTTACGTTTGGATGGGTAGAACCAATAGACAATTGACACTCAAGTTTAGTTAGACAGTGGATAATAAAGAGTCTATTAGGTAATGAACACTTAATAAGGTTACCTCACTTTTTTACTAGAAGAAACGATGACTCAGGCCCAAGGATTCCATTTTTTTTATGTCTCTGGCATATGTCTACGTAATACAATACTGTAAAGTTATGTTTTAATGATCAAAACTTTTACATATTAATTTTGATCCTTCAGTTTCTTTTGCATTACTGTACTGTATATATTTTTGATATATTGTAACCGGTCTTATTTTACTTTCATGTGATGTCTTCAGGCTAACCAACATACATATAATGGGCTTCAGCTTAGGTGGAAGAATCAGTGGCCTTATTGGTGATAGGATTCAGACAGGGACCATTGGGAGAATGACAGGTAAGAATATGAATGGTGCTTTGATATTTTTATAATTAAAGCAAATATTTATAGACGTTGCTGAAATTTGCCCATACGGAATTTGTAAATTATGACCACTAAATTTGGAATACCCTGTACTACCCATAAATTAGACATAGTGGAAATGGGGTAAATATTAAATATTTTCAACACAAAAATTGCGATATAGAACAATAAAAAATTTCACAGAAATTAAAATTTATTTGATTTGGATTTCTTGGTGTTTGCTACCACCAAGCATGGGTGCGCAACGTACCTACGCCCCTGGACTCGGTTTGTTTATATCTCACTGCTTGTATGTTTGACATCTGTCTTGGATTTAACACTTATGTACATATCTTATTCAAGACTGTGCAGTGTATTACACTTACAGTATTCAAGATGAGTCAAAAGAGGCCATCAAGTGCAAGTGAAAGCAGTGGTGCTAAAAGAGCCCATAAAGGAATTACGCTGGATATAAAAGTTGATGTTTTATTGAGGTTTGATGTGGGGAAAAAAACTTGGCCAGATTGCAAAAGTGTTTGGGTTTGCTACATCTACCAATAACTCCCTTTGCACCACCTCACTTCATGCAGCACTCAATGTTGTTTGTGGTGAGGTAAATTCAAGTCTTTTGTGTATTTATTATCATATTACTGTATATGATAAAAAAATTAATGTATGTGTTTAAATATATTTATTTTCATTCATAAATGTGCTTGTATTACTTCTTTCTGCCAATAAAGTTTCTTTAGGAACACATCTCCAATTATACAATGGAATTCAATGGAAAATGGGGTTCATGTTATGGAATTTTACGTACAGTCAAATTTTCAAGGATGCATCCCTTGGGTAACCCGGGGGATTACTGTATAATAAATTCATTCATTTCAGAATTCCTTCTCATGACACTCTTTCCAAGGCTCTTGTTCATCCTTATGTGGAATAACAATTTTTTCTTATGCAGTTTGCATAAAATAGTGACTACTGTGCAGGGAACTATTATAAGAAAAATTTAATGATACATAAATATAGCTGACACTCCGAGACCACAGCAAAAATAGTAAAATGACTGATGAAAGAGATGTATGGTACAAGTAGGTCATCTTATATTAGTAGAGTAAGTAAAAGAACAGATCAGGATGAATTTAGGTACAGTGGCAGTCATTCTTTTCTTATATTGTACAAGTGTCATGAACCTATTGTACTAATTTCATTAATACTGTACGCATATGCTATTTGGTTTTAATAATACATACGGGTACTTGCAATTAAATTATGCACAAAGTATGTTATAATGCAAGCCAAAATAGCCTATCCTACTGTGACAGTGAAACCCACCGCTTTCATCCTTCAGTGGAAGTAGTTGTATCCATTGAAGGTCTTGTGTAAATACTGTACTGATTTTTGACAGGAGAGTGCACACAAATTTCTGGATAAGTTCCAGTCACATGTGTGGTCTTGGGAAACCTTGTTTTTCAACCTTTGTTACATCAAATGATTCATACTCCTGTTATAATTTATACAAGTGTGTGTGCATTCATGGCTATGTTCCATAGATAATTTTTCTGGTTGTATCTTTCTAGGTATGGATGCATCATATCCTTGGTTACCACCTCGAATCAATGAAGAGTTCTTAGATGCTGGAGATGCCATTCTTGTAGTCAACATTCGAACCTCCTCAATAGGATCTCATTCCCCTCCTGGCCACATTGACTTTTATGCTAATGGAGGACTGTCACAACCAGGTTGCCAAAACTGGTATTTTCCAGATACAGGTTGGTTACCTAGTTCATATCTTGGAAAATATATTTTTTATAATAAAGGTTGGTGCATTACAACTGATATTATCCTGTATGTATTTGTAATAAGATCATTTAAAACATTTATTATACTCTACAATATTTAGAGGAAAATGATACACAGTACAGTATTACTCTCTCTTCTCAAATAATTGGTGAGCAGCCTGTTCGGTATAGGGAGGTTTTTGGTATAAAACGGATATGAAAAATTTGTCCAATATCGAAGTTTGTTTGGTATACAGTATTTGAAAAGAGTTCGGTATTTTTAGTCCAGGTAAATTGTCACAATATCGTATTTTTTTGTTATATAAAGTATAGTTTACTAACACAAGACAACAATGTCTACAGCATTTGTTTGAGCATATCTTGTGTGAGTTAAGGTAAATATTTTGTTAAATTCTATAATATCTGATATACGAGACGGAGTCCTAGTTGGACCTAAGTTCAAAAAATAATAAAAATAAACAATGAAAATGAATGGAATCCATATTTTTTAAATAAAGAGGAAAAGTTACATTCAAAAGCATAGTACAGTACTATTTATATTTTTTTGGACACTACATGAAACTGAAAATACTACACCATGTACAGTGGTCCCTCGGTTAACGAGATTTCGGTTAACGAGTTACCTTCCATAAGATTCTTAACTTCAGTTAACGAGCAATCCCTCGAGTAACGAGTTTCTTACGAGTCGACCTCAACATGTTTTCGCTTGCATTTGGCGGTCCACCAGCTGTAGTATTAGTCCGCCAATACAGTAATCGGTTCTAGGGCTTATATTCCTTACCATTTTAGTAAATATCAATAAGTTTATACTATTCAATAATTTTAAAAGTTTAATATTAAATTTTTTAGTCATTTTAACAATTATTGAACATAATTGAAAGTAAAGAAACTAGTTTTATGCGCGCCATCCAGCCTGTCAACACAGCAAACAGGCGCCCGTTTCTCTGCTTTTTCAGTGGAGGTAATATCTTGCTTGAGACTCTCTTCAACTAAATGCTTTTTTCTGTGTTTGCAAGCAAATTATTGGTCATTTTGAAATTTATTTTACATACTGACAATATATAATGCAGTGCAGTGTTGATTTAAAGAAAATAATCTTGAATCTTACCAAGAGAACTAAAATTTTATGGGTGAAATGACGCCATGGGGTGACTTCTCTTCCACCCCAATGCCTTCTCTTCTTCCTTCTCCTCCACCCCCATTCTAAATCCCATCATCATCATCATCATCATCATCATCATCATCATCATCATCATCATCATCCAGGAGCCTTCTACATACACACCTCAAAGTAAGTGAACTTTTCTACCATTTTTGTTGAATTTAGGAAATTTTCGGTGAGCTGGAACCAATTACCCAAAAACCCATTGAAACAATGGTTTCGGTTAACGAACGACCTTCTGGAACGGATTGAGTTCGTTAACGGAGGGGTCACTGTATATATATATACACGCACGCACACTGGTCCCTCAGTTAACGAACGGTTCGATTAACGAAATTTCGCTTAATGAATTACCTCCCATAAGGATCTTCAATTCGGTTAACAAACAAAACTTTGATTAACGAAATCCTTAAGAACATCACGTTTTGTTGTGAGCATCAGTTGATGGGCTAGTCTGCCAATTCAGTAATCTCTTCTATGTTTACATTCATTTCCACTGGAATAAATATCAAGGAAGTTGTGCTCTTTAATATTTTTTCATTTTTTTATATTAGAATGGTCAAAACCTAAGTAAAGCATAAAAATTTTAGTTGCTGAGCACTGGTAATACAAATAAAGGAGCCTCTTGTGTGACCTTGGTCCATCACCATGGGAATTCTGTAGTTCACACTGACAGCCAGTCCCTAGTACAGTACTGTAATACTTATTGTGCTGTTACCACATCATGTACCATCTTTGTTTCTTTCAGCAAAACAAGTTTGCAATCACTACCGTGCTGTTGCACTCATGATAGAGGCAGTAAAGTATGCTGGAAAAGAGGTCTTCTCTGCTTGTGGTTGTCCAGATTTGCAGAGCTTTCAAAACAACACCTGTGATTGCCAGATAGTTAATAATTTTGGACTATATCCAAATGCAAGGTAAGAGTATTCAGTGATTATTTAGCCAGATAATACAATTGTGAAATATAATAATTTAAGTATACAGTACTGTACTCTGTTTTATACAAATTGAATTTGAAATGTAATGAAAGTTTGCTTTTAATTGTAAGAATAAATAAAGTCACATACTCCATTTAATATCTCTCTAGTCTTACACTGGAATTAGCTTTTTTTTTGTAACTTTGTAAATACAAATATATTTTTAAGATTGAGACTGTATTGATCAAATCTAAACCTACCACAGCATATTACATTTTATGTCCTGGCTGAGAATTGAACTTGAACCTAGAATGTATATGATGCCCTTGCTTGAGGGTTATCACTTAATTACTCCTATTATATATGCTGTACTTATTTTCTTTTCAGTGTGTTGGGTAACTTCTATTTCTCTACAAATTCAGAGCCTCCTTATTTAAGGAATTTATAGATCTCTGCATGACCTACCTCAAGAAGCAATGCTCACCTGTTGCTTTGCCACCACAGGTCATGGTAATCAATAAAAATTATGACTATAGAAAATACTGTCACTAGCTTTGAAGCTTTACTGTTTTGTAGGCTTTAATGGGTAAGCCCAAATGATGACTATCATTTTTGTGGAAATGTTTTATTTTATTTAAATAAGTAACTTTCAGTAATTTGACTTGATTAGCTTAATGGTACTCTTCGTAGTGATGGTTGTCAACTCTGGTTATAGCGTCAAAATGGTGTAGTGTGTTACTTCTACGATATATCAGGCGTGTCCAGTATTCATTGAATGCTTTATGTTGTGGTGTATATTCGAGATTTGAGATGGTTGAGGGAGAGGGCGGGGATGGCTTTTATGTCCTCTTCTTGCATTGCTTCTTGGGCAAGATGAACGACACAGGAAATCGAATTAATGGCAAAATATTCAGTACAAATTCTTCTCCACCCTTGAACTCAGCCTGCCATCTGATGTTTTGACATGCTGACTGTTTGGCAGCTGCTGTCACCATCGACAGTATCACCCACTGAAGTGAGCCATCCTTATTTACCTAATGGCCACCCACTAGAGGTGGTCATGCCAAGGGAAATAGGCTAGTGGCCTGTGTAGGATCCATCCATTATTCTTGATAATTTTGTCAATAATACAATATAGAATCCTTGCTTATTATATCCAGGTATAAATATCCTGGACAGTACATGAACTATGCTTCATTTTGAAGTGCTCTCCTTGACATCGTAACAACCATAACAATGTGTTTGTTTGTTGATCTTGTGGATGGATATTATGTAGCTTTTCTGATCAAATTTTTAAAATATTGTGTAATTTTTGTATTATGTTGCATTTGAAATTAATGAGTTAACAAGTGAGTGCAGGTTGGGTGTAGTTGCTTCAGAGCTGAACTTCACATGTGAGATGATTTCAATGTATGTTTGCTCCATGTACCTGTTTTGATTCAGATTAAACTCGGTTCACTTTTTTTGTGATCAGGTGAAGCAAAGAATGGTTTTCAGCAAAAACTTCTATGATCAAGATGTCTTTCTGTTTTGAATGGCAACAGCCCTTTTCTTTAAAGAATTGGTGGACCCAGATTTGTGTTGGAAAAAAAAAGCTCATTTTATAGTCTACCTTTTGCAGTCAGGACATGATATGGTAATGGTCATGGATGCACTGAACTAATGTATACAGTAGACCCTTGCTATTTGCAGGGATTATCTTACTGAAAATCCACAAAAAATCAGAATTTACAAATGTAAAAAACTTGGTTTAGTGGAAAAAAAAAAGTACTGTATTGCATTAGGTTCCTGGTACAACTGAACTTGGGGGATGATGGTAATTGGTCAAGAACAATGACTAATAAATATTGTACCTGCAAATAATAATAAACTATAAAGAGGGGAAGTCAGAAGGATGACTCCTCTGAAGTTGCAGGTGTGAGGAAGGCTGGGGCTGGTGGTGCCTGACTTTGGAGAGGTGGGGGCTGAAGTTGAGATAGAGGTGCTTGTCTTTGCAGGGAATGTTATGATGCCTGATGTTGAAGCAAAGGTAGTGGGCCAAGAAACACTGGTGATTGGCATTTGCAAGAAGGAAGGAGAAGGCTGGCAGGCAAAGCAACATGCTTAGGCTGTGCAGACTGTTTAAAATTTTACATTCTGTGCACCTTCCTCCTATGTCCCTAATGTTGTTTGGGAATGCACTATCTCACACACACACACACACATTAATGCTAGGGGTCAGGGTTCATGAATAGAGTTAGTAAACATTAACTTACTTGCAAAATCTGTGCATGAAACGTGTGAAACCTAGAATTGTGAATAGTGAGTGTTTCCCATACATGGGCCATTCATTTGCTTCAGATCATAACTAAAATGGGATTTCTGGATTAATCCCTCATTTTGCAAGATACACACCGTAACTACACCCGAACTAGAAGCCTCCCATATAGCCATCAAATGTTGGTGTTTCGAAGGTTTTAGAACCATCAAATGCAATGGTTCTTGGTACTTTTGGGTCACATCTTAGACAAAAGCCTTGCAAAAGGTTCAGGAAATGAGTCATTCTTTGAGATGATTCTGTCTCCATAACCCTCTCTGTTCTGTATTCACTAGGTAGGAGGGGTCTTTCCCCTCATTACCCTTCCAATGCAGGGGTGAAGGAACTTTACCCTTTCCATCACTTACTTACACTTTCCCATCCCATGTCACCTTATTAATAGGTTAAATATTTTCTCCACCCTAACCCTGGAAGTGCAGTCTTACCAGGATATTTTACTCCAATTTCTTGTTCCCAATCAGTGTGTCAATCCCGGTTCTTTGGGGAGTCAGAGAGCACCTTTATTATTATATCTGCATCTTAGTCAATTTCTATAACACCTGAATCATTTGTAATTTTCTTCATGTACTCAGTGCTAAAGACCATATTACACTGATGGAAGCATGTTTAAGAGTACTGAATCAGTACAGTATGCCTATTTACATTTTGAAAATTGTGACTATTATTGCGAAAAAGAGGATTGCTTAAGGTTGTGATAATATATAGGAAAGGAAACAAAATGTGAATAATAAAGAAATAAATATGTGAAAAAATAACATTATCTAATGATATGAAGCTGGGCTTGCACAAGGGAACTCTTGGTGGGGACTGAATTTTTCAATGTACATATTTCAACAAAACATTTTTAGTTTTTTTGGTAGTACTGTACTGTAGTTTTATTGATTACAGAAGCCACTATGTATATAACATCTAGATATAAGTAAGATGTAATTACAGTACTGTATTTGTATTAAGTATAATTATAAGAAAATTAGCTTACCTGTTTAACTACCCCTCATAAGTGATATTTGAGCCTATTGACATTACAGTAGTCCCTTACCAACCACAGTGGTTAGTTTCTTGAAAATCCTGTGGTTGGCAAGACTTATAAAGGCTTGTGGGAAAGGGGGGTTTGGTTCCATGACTGCCGATAACACTCGTCAAACCTAAGTTGCCTATTTCCTGATTAAACAATACCTGCATTGTACATTTAATTAAATTTGAGTCAATTATATGTGTGTGTGAATAAGTGGTTGTAATTTTTTGGGGGTTATAGGGGGTGAAAGTGTCTGAGGGCTGGTACCAATCGACCCATTTAGCATGTAAAGTATACTTACCACATAAAAGAGTTTCACTTTAATGACCGTTTTCATGGTACCAATTAGTCGTTAGAGTGAAGTATAGACTATAATTTTATTCATTTTTTTTACTCTGTTACATGCACGCAATTGTTCATATGGAATGTGTAAAAAAAAAGTAAAAAGAAATGATTATTATACAGCGGTCCATTCAATTTACGAGATTTCGGTTAACGAATTAGCTCCCATAAGGATTTTCAGTTCTATTAACGAGTACAACTTCTATTAACGACAGCCTTACGAGAAACACGCCTTGATGTGTGCATCAGCTGATTGGCTAGTCCGCCAATACAGGAATCGGTTCTATGTTTACATTTGTTTCCAGTGCAGTAAATATCAAGAAAGTTGTGTTCTTGAATATTTTTACATTTTTTATATTAAAATTATTGGTCATTCTAATTTAGTTAACATATTGATAATATAGACAGTACTGTACAGGGAACAGTTTTTGTGCCCCCATCAGCTGATCGAATCACCCTCCAACGCTTCTCAGTTTAACTTTGTTTACAGTGGAGTGAACATTGTTTGGTCTCTTGAATATTTTTGCATTTTTACTTTTAAATTATTGGTCATTCTGAAATTATTAAGAAACACGAAGAAAGCATTAGAACCAATACACTCTGTAAAGAATATGGCATGTCATCATCGACTGCCTCTATGATCAGCTGTTTGCTATGTAAAGAAAGTCGCTGGGATTACGACTTACACGCCCAAAGTAAGTTAAAATACAGTACTGTACAGTATTCTAATGTTTATTATTTATTATTGTACAGTTCTGTATTTAGTTTATATTTAATGTTTTTGTTAATTCTATTACTGGTATACAGTACTTTGGATGTACTTTTTCTGTGAGTTGGAACCAATTACCCAATATCTCATTGAAACAATAGATTCAGTTAACGACTGACTCTGATACTGATACGCAACAGTAGCAGTAGTAGTAGTAGCTCGTTAATCAAGGGACCACTGTAATGTGAAAAACATAGAGAATAAACATTTCTTATGTCTGCGGGAGTTAGTCCACAATCGTGGGAGAGGGGGCATACTCCTATTTCCCGTGTCCTTAGTGAAACAATTGCCAAATGGCACTGTAGTATTTTTTTCTTTTCTTTTATTTATTAGTATTATTTTTATTCATTTCTCACATTTACTTTTACTTTTATCCTCTTTGCCACTGATCGGTTCGTTAGCTGCTTGGGTGATCGGTCACGTCTGTTATGCACTGTTGGCAAATACTGGGCATGCACTGGCTCCTGAATATATCGGAACCTGCTCCAGTGTGGGTCAAGTCTGGCCTTGAATTAGCTCACACTCAGTGCTGTCACAACACTGGCATTTTGTTCCAAGAGTTCACAATTCTCACTCACTCCACCGACTGCAGTTCATTGTTTCCAGATGTGGCACCAATTAATAACAGACATGAATCATACAGCAACTATGAAAGTAAGTTGAAATGGTCGTAAGTCAAAAATGCTTAAATAATACAGTTGGGTCTCACTTTACGCGGTTAATGTAACCCACAGGGTACTGCGGAAAGTGAGAAACACGTAAAGTGAATAACATAACATATGGGATTAATTGAAATAGAGACCGGGCCGACCCCCAAACTCCACTTTTTGACGACACACAACTGTGTTGTAGTAAAAAATTTATCTTAACTTTATGATGGTATGCACAAACAAGTAATATAGAAGAGGTTAGGTTAGGAAAAATAAAGGTTAAGTTAGGAAAAATAAAGGTTAGGTTAGGAAAACTAAAAGTTAGGTTGAACACTTACGTTAGTAGAAGAGATGGGTCGGCATACGGGGATGGAGGCTGGTTCCGAGGCAGAGGGCAGGCTACTGGCCCTCAGGTGAGTCACCATCACTGTCATCCACACTTGTCAGGGCCTCCCTGACAAATCCCTCAAAGTCATCTTCACTGTCTCTACCATCTGTCACTATCACTGGCTTGGGCTGGCTGTGGTGGGTTGCGGGCGAAGAACTCTGTTATGCTTTGCTGACGGCTGGTGTTTATGTTGTCGTGATAAACCTTGATGTAGGGCTCCATAGTCTGCAACAGCTGGGTAGTGAAGATTTCATACCTGTTTGCGTCAGGGTCGTCGGAAAGGAGGAGCTTGACTTTCTCAATACACTCGATGGCACCCCTTACATTACTATGGGATAAGTGGCGTTCTTCTTGGGATGACGCACCACCTGCCTCTTCACTGACGTCATCATCATCTACCATCTCGTCGGTAGTCACATCAGGTTCCATTATCACCTCCAGGATGTCGTCGTTGGTGGTCTCGGAGAAGCCTGCAGCTGTAACACTCTGCGCAGCTTCTCTGGCAAGGTCCACTGCTTCTGTAACAGTCTGAACCTCACCAGTCACAGATTGACTCTGCCTTACGCCCGGAATGCCTTGCAACACATGTCTCCATGCGTGACGAACAGTTGCTACAGACAGCTGGCTCCCATGCCTCCACCAAGAAGTCCTCAGCTTTCTTGATGTTAAATATTCTCCAGAATTGTTTGAAAAGTATCTTTTGCTCTGCCAACTGTTGATCCTCGTCTTCTTCGCTCTTGCTATCGGTGGTGGTGTCACTCAGGTTACGCAACTCTTCCCTGGTGTTGGTGTAGTCGTTCAGGAGCTTGAATTTTTTTGTTGAGAATGCAGCTTTTACATTACAGATTAACTCTTGGTCCATGGGCTGTAATATAGACGTAGTGTTGGGAGGAAGGAAGATCACTTTTACGTTGGGGTGACGATCTAACAGTAGGGGCGAGTGTCCTGGTGCGTTGTCCAGCAGCAACAAAATCTTGAATGGCACATTCTGTTGCTCACAGAATTTCTTTACATTGGGAACGAAACAGTCATCAAACCAGAAGAGGGAAAGTGTAGAGAACATCCACGCCTTACGTGCGGTCAGCCAGTGGACATTTAGCTTGGTCATGTCCATGTTCTTGTAGGCGTGCAGCTTGCGGGCTGTGTGGATCACCGATAACTTGAGCTTACAGGTACCGGAGGCATTGGTGGTAAACAGGACGGTGATGCGCTCCTTCTGCATCTTCCGACCCCGAATCTTGCTGGCATTCTTCACAACAACGGTCTTGGAAGGTAGCTTTTTCCAAAAAAGACCAGATTCGTCCATGTTAAACACCTGGTCGTCGGTGTACTGTCCTTCCTCCATAATCTCACGTAAAAACGGAGGAAATTCCCTAGCCGCAGCACGGTCAGCACTAGCTTCTTCACCACCAATGTTTATATTGGTGATCTTGTTCCGCATCTTAAACCTCTGTAACCACCCAGAGGAAGCATTAAAGGGTTTGGGCTCTATAATTCCCATCTTTCGTGACACTGCAGCATACAGTTCACGTGCGTAGTCCTTCACAGAGCACGTGTCGACCGCCATGTTCCGTCGCGCCTGACGCACCAAGTAGCTCACAAGTAATTTTTCAGTCTTGAGAAGCACCTGGTTGTGAAAATACTTGATCATAGAAGCACCTGTAGACTTTGTGATCTTCACGTGCTCCTTTATCTTGGCTGCATCCTTCTTTATCGTCTGGATCGTAGATTCGTTCACACCATGCTGGCGCGCCAAATCAACCTGTCTTGTTCCTTTCTCTAACTCTTGGATGATCTTGTACTTCACCTCGTAGCTTAAGGAACGTCGTGTCTTCTTGGGCTTAGGGCGGCTGGGTCCAGGTAAGGAAAGGTTTCTCTCTGGGGGCGGTGGTCCGGCGGAAGCCATTTTACAGAACAATGGATGCACGATTACACGGTGTGGCCTGGAGGGGTGAAACTGCCGCGGCTAGGTTAAGCGTCGTCTTTCCTCCCTCCCTCCCTCCCCCAGGTGGACACGTCATATTACTTTAAACCAATTACAGCTAACAGCAGAGGGAGGTAGGGATGCATGGTCAATCACAGTCGGATACGTCATATGACGTCAGTGATAACGCAACAGAGACATGCACTGCGCAACCTTACCGCACGGCTTGGCCAGGTGGAGGAGGCGGGAGCAGGCGGGTGGGGCGGATATAAAATATCGTCGCGCCAGACACTCTCCGCGTAAAGGGGTACACGCACCGCGGAATGTGAGCATCCTGGTTTCCAGCAGGGCACCGCGTAAACGTGGAAACGCGGAATGTGGGACCGCTTAAAGTGAGGGTTGACTGTACATAGAAAATCTAAAATGGGTGTCTCTTTTCTTCTCAGCACCACAAAACTCTCACTTTTAAGCTTGCCAGCCATTTTAAAGTGAATTACAAACGAAAATTTTGTCAGTACACAGCGCAATCACTGACGTTGGGACTCGAAAATACGTAATTTGACAAAATTTTGGCACGACTGAGGCGGTCGTATGTCCGGGTGGTCATAAGTTGGAGAGGAGCTGTAATGACTTTTTATTACAATTTATTTGTTAATAGTGTATTATTCTGCTGTGTGTCTGAAGGAATCATATGCCAGGCAGTGAGTGTTTGGGGGGGGACTGCAGTTCTGCAGCTCCTAGGCTCGAGCTGCCACTGTACAGTCACCCAAAAAAGTCCTGTTGCGAACCATGAACCCCGAGATTCAGACTCTTGAATCCAAAGCATTTATGGACAGAATAATGTATCAGTGTCTACTGCTTCGGGTTCACGAGCCTGAATCTCAT